GCGCGCACTGTCTGCAGTCGAGTGGCTGCCGGCCAGGGGGGGGGAAAAAGGAAATTCCCGCAGAAAAAAATGCACGGGCAAGCGTACACATGCAAATTTTATCCCGTTCCCGGTAAATTACTTCTTTGCCTTGTTTTTTCCATCGTTAGTGCGTGGACTTTTCGTCGATACGGGTGTATGTATCGCCAGAGCAAATACGGATCCGCGCACGGGGGTTGCGCGTCGGCGGTGATTTCCGTGAAAAATTCACCGGCAGCCGATTTTCGAATTCACCGTTCCGGCAACTTCATCGAAAATTAATCGAGTATGCCATTGTCGGGTATCGCGGAAAAAAATATCAGCCATTCTCGTCGATTCAAAACGTTTGATTTTTCGGCGCCGACAATTTCGTTTCGTCGTGGCGAGCCGGACGATTTTCGAAAATAAAAACGGAGCAAACGAAGAAGCGGGAGCGGTGAGGAACCAGCCCCGGTGTATTTTTGGCGCAACCTTCCCGCGTCTGGGTGGGCCTGCTTTTTTACCGTCTACTAAACACGGGCCAAAGATAAACCAATTTGTCCCGGATTTATAAAGTCTCGTACCGCGCCCGATGAAAGTGATACATACATAGATCGTTTATACATCTAAACAAACATAGAACTAAATCACGTGCGCGTGCAAATATTGTCGCGTGGCTTGTTTGCCTTGCCGTCCGAAATATCGATCAAATTATTCCGACGCTGGTGTTAATTTAAACGATTGATACGACTCGGCCGATGAAATAACGTTTTGATTGACGTCCGCTTGTGCAAATCACCTTTGTGCAAATTTATCCACAACCGAGGTTGAAACTGTGCGCCGAGGTTGTTTCATCACGATTGCTGTTTGCCAAATTTCTTCTATTCCCGTCAATAAATCGAAATATATTCCACGAACGCGACTCGATGCGCACCCCTACAGAATGAATCGTTGCATTCCTTAAAATCATTTCTATTGTACGACCCGGGGCGGACAGCGTTCGGTGCAATTTCTGTCATCGTTCACAGAGATTGTGAGCCACCACGCGTAAGGAAATGCGATCAGGGGACGAGAGAGGATTGCTCGCACCCTGCTCGGGCACGCGGTATTTTAGACGATGGGATCGTCACGGGAACATACGGGACAGGTCGCATGTGTCGACCACGTCGCCGAATGAGAAACTCCCGCGTGCGCTCCGTTCGGTGATTAATAGGAATCGACAGATCGTTGGGTGTTACCGTAAAAAAAAAATATTACCGATAAATTGTGCCCCCGTAACGGATTCGTGGACAAGGAAATATTTTTCCCCGAGCCATTCACGTTCTGTCGCAGCTGTGACGAGCTCGATAGGCGACACTGATCGCTTCGTCGTCGAACAAATTAATTGAATTGCTCGACGCACGTTCTCGATATTTGCACGAACGCATAGCGAGATATGCTGAACGTCTAGTGAAAAAAGGATTTTAAATGAGGATGGGGAATGTTATAATAATATGGGATAGATTATTATATGCGTCGGCGAGTCCGGGGAACAGTTTTTTTCTCGCTGGCATAAGAGGAGGCTGTGTGAGCGGAAGCGTGAAACGATGAATACAAGTTCGCGCGATTTCCATAATTTCAATAACGCGCAACTTTCGCGCCGACTTAATATACCGTGAAAATAATTACTGCCGCGAAAATAGATTCAGCGCCGATCGCGTCGCCAAGTCGTGAAGAAACGTGTATTCATCTCGCGAGTATATACACGCGGGAAGGGCGAGAAAGTGAGATCGCGCAGCGAGGGGTGAGTCCAGACTCGCTCCGTTGTGCGAGTAAAATTAGGAAACTAACTGTCGCGTCCACGTAGCGGGATTCGATATTTGTGTACATGCAGAAATCCGTACGTCGTTCCATTTTTCTCTTCGTGTCTGCGCGTTTCCCCTTACGTTCGTCCGTAGGCAGTTTGACCTTCCGGCTCCAGTTCAGCTCGCGGGGAAAGCGTTTGTCGGGGCCCTCGAGTAGGTGTTATTGTGTTACACCGTCCCGAGATGCCTCTGTGCCGCGTATCCTGGGCAAACGTGATTATTTTTCGCAATTTGCTAAGCAGATGCCCCCATTGTTCGCGGTATATCGCTGGCGGGAGTTTGTTTTGCGCCACCCCTTTCTCGCTTCCGCCCCTTTCTCCGTCTCCTCTGACCTTTCTCTCCCCTCATCGAGCCCCTCGTCGCGTCGCCGCGACCAGCGCGACAGGATTTTTTTCCTTTTCACCTGTGTACACGTCGCGCGAGACACGGAGCGTGTGCACGCGCGCTCATTCCACGAACACACGCGTCTGCTGCCAACCGACCCACCACCCACTCTTCCCCCTTCTCCCCCGTCCGCGTTCTAGACGCGTTGATACGCACGTAGACACGCGAATCCACGCAGGCACGCACGCCGGGGGCTGCATATTTTAACCAACTTGCTTGGCGCGCGTATTGTCTTCGCCGTAGTCCCCGCGTCTCGCTAGAAATAATGATCGTCACCCAACAGCATCCTGCCTGCTGCTGCTGTTGCTCCTCCGTCTATTCTTCCCGAGGAAGGCAAAGCATCCGTGACAACAATGTTGCGTAGCGCTCAGCGAGATTGCGGGAACCGTGTCCTTTTCTTGCGCCGATTGTGCGTATATCCAGGGGCGAAGGATAGCTGCGAGGCTTCTTTCGTTTTCCTGTTTACGCCGAAACGTTTTGTTACAATGTAACGAGAGGGGTCGGTCTCTCGCGCCGTGAATCGTTTCCAATTAGGCGAGTGGAACGACGGTTACCGGGGTGATTAAAAGCGATAATTTTCAGCCTCGAGCTGCCGTGCGAATCGGTCGATTCATTCTCCGGTTGTTCGCGGTCTCGAAGACGTCCAGAAGGAATTCACATCGATCGGGCCCCGGTCGTAATTGAATCGCATTCACGTCTAATGAGCTCATTGTATCCGCGGCATCGGCTCGTCGATGCGTGTCGGGAGGTATCGGAGCCTCCGTCGATTCGATTGACAGTTGAATTGCCGCTATCCCGCAGCTGATATTCCGATTGTCCCCCGACTACCTCCTCTCCATGCCCCTCGAGCACGAGTCACGGAACGGAGCCCACCTGTTCGTCTCTTAGCCGCGCGACTTGCGCGGGAATCGAATTATTTGTACGCGACACGGTTACGTGAAACGAGCGTGGATCTATTAAAGTCGCCGGTGCGAATTAAATCACGGCTCGGATCGGGTGTACTGTTATTATCGCCGAGAGCAATGAGGAAGCTCGCTTCCTCCCATTCATCCGTGACACTAATTCGAGATTTATCTCGCGTTACTCGTTACGAAAAATGATGAAGCGGTTACCACGCGCGTTCCACTGATGTAGGCGTCTTCCGGCTTCTTAGCGCATCCCGTTGAAAAAAGTTCGTGGGACTGGCACTCGTTCCGGTACGCCGGGCATTCTCGTCGAACCGACGGGTCTTCTTCGAAGAATGGTATTCGAGGGTTACGAGTCGGAGATACCCGTCACGCTGCTTGCCCGCTGGAGGAGCTACGCCCTCCTCCGTGCCTTCGCCCGCGATACATTATCTCTCCCCGAACGCATAGCAGGGCACCGCGAAAAGTGGCCACGGAAGCTGTGCAGATTTAACCCTTTTTCTTGCTCGTCTCCTCCCTCGAGGATCTTTCGACGATTTCGAGTCACGCTCGAGGAACTCGACGAGTGCGTACCTTTTCTTCAATTGGTTTTCCCGCGAACCGGGCGAACGCGAACGTTAAACGCGATCGATTTTTCGTCCGCGTCGCGTCGTTGAGAAAACATCCATCCCAGCCAGCTGCCATACGTAATTTGCTCTTCAATTTTCGCGAAATAAACTTGTCGTCAGGCGAGACACGACTCGACTTTCCGCGAATATTGGCGTGGCGCAGTCAATCGCGCGGTAAAAGAGAGCAAAAATGGGGAAGGAAGAGTAAAAAGAAAAAACTAGAAACCGGATTAAGGGCGGTGGCGTTACATCGGCGGTGGGAAACCGGCGGCGCGGAGGGAAAACGAAGGGACCAACGTCACTTTGGTGGCAGCGTGCTCTGAAAGCGCTCATTGAAATGGCTCGCGGCAGCTTGACGTACGCGGATCATTAATTGAAATTCCGTTACGCAAATGCTACGTGCACGCACGTACACGCGTGCGCCGTTGCACACGGACGGGCGGCTGTCTCGGCGACTACGACCAGGAGTACTAGATTCCATCGTTTTTATCGAGGTAAATTAGCGGGCGTGTGCGTCTAATTAGGTACACGTCGCCCGGTCTGTTCAACTTTTCGTTTAACGCGAACAACCGCTCCTAAACACCCGAGCAGTTGTAAAAATAATTGGACGCGCCCGTCCGCGGCCCCGAGTGACTGCGACAGAAAATTAATGAGCCGTTTAAATAAAGTAGACCGACGATTTAAATAAAATGACTAAAGTGACAAAATAATAGGCCGCTGTGTTTGCCCGTTCGCAACGCGGCATTGTTCGGCCGAGCAATTATCGGCCGGAAAACATGTTGAGGAAATAATTAAAAAACGTTTAAATATCGAATGGCATCTCGCGGGAGCACGTGGCGGACAAAGCGCGGGGGCGGGAAGCGAGGGAGGAAGGACTTTGTGCGTATTTTTGTCGCGCGCTCGTTTCCCGCGCGCGTTTTCCCGTCTCTTTTCATCCCGGGGAGCGCTCCTCTCTATGGAACTCTCTCCGCGCGTTGTGCACGCGACTTTTCCGGATCGCTCTTTCGAAGTTCACCGACAATCCCTGTGATGTCTGCCCGGCCTTGCCGAGGCACAAGAGAAAATGGCACTTTTGTGTCCCGGTTACTAATGCGTCTCGTAATAATTTCGTTTTTTTTGTCGACTGCCTTTTACGTTACTCGTTCCCGCGTCTGTGTTCCCTTCCCGCGACGCTAGAGATGCCGGCGTACGTGGAAAATCGGCAGACACGGGAGAAAACGAAGGATCCGTGCTCGTCACATGACGATATTTTTTGTTTGCAGAAACGAGATGGACGTACGGACAGAGAGACCTCGAACGGCTGGTCGGATAGCGCCGACCGGACGCGTAACTCCGACCATACATCAAACAGGTGGAGGAAGAAGAAAAGCGATACCGGTACCACCGCCGAGGGTGCCGACCCCCATGCCCACTGCCAACAATAATCAGCAAAAGTGAGTAAATTATGTTGCCGATATATTCCCCGCGACGATAAAACCCCGGCCAGGAACATTCCAAAACGCAGACTCTTCCCCGAGGAAAAATCGCGAAACGGATATAACTATAATAAATATCAATAATAATTTACTTCGGCGACGATTGGATTTCCGTTCGACGACGCGTCGCGCGACGAGTTTCCCCGTCGAGTCCGAGGGGTAGTATAGAGGGACGACGCCATTAAGTAAGTGGGATTAGGTGCGCGCGAGTTTGGTCTGGCTTGATCAAAGTTTACCCAGCCACTACCGATCGCCCCGGTACTCTCCAATTTCAAGATGTTTCCCCCCCGTACGCTGTTTCGTGTAGTTTCGTACACCAAGTATTACCCGAAGTAACACCGTGTCCGGTTCAATTACATTAGCAGCGCGATTGTGAGCTCGGATTGCCGCTTTTCAGCCGTCCGAGATTCGGAACTTTCGACCGGGATAAGGCAACGTCCGAATCGAATGCTTCTTCCAGTTTCTACGAAAGTGACGTGGTTGTTCATCCTCCCGGGGTAGCGCACACAACTTTATCTCGCGGTCTACGGGCGGTGAGGGACGGGAGGGAGAGGTAGGATTTCCGGTTATATCGGGCTTGACCCGGGATATAGGCTCCATTAAGTACAGCGAAACGCGGGCGAGTTTCGGCCGGCTGATTAAAGTTCGCGGAACACGAGACCGCCGGCCACTTTACTGATCTCCTCGACCAATCTGGTACGACCACGCGCACGGATTTTGCGGCTATGCACGCCCGTATTAACCCCGAGTGTATAAACGTCTGCCGTTCGATCGTTATTCCCGCCGGTAAAAGATTAGCAAGTCCGATTCCACTCAGATAACACTCGGTCGTGGCCGTCGTTTTAATTGTGCCGCTTTTAGAGGCTCGTTAACTAATGCGGATTATTAAAGGGAACGTTATTTCCCGTCCCGGGTACACATCGGGAACGGCCGGCCGCGGCCGGCCGCCGTTGGACCTCGCGGTGGGACGGGGTAACTGCCTGGAGTCCGGTCGGACTCGTTTTATCCCGCGACGGTGGCGGATGACGTCGCGATAGAGCCATAAAATGTATATAGCGCGCGCCGCGGACCACTTACCGTGCAACCTCTGTTTTCGTGGCGTAGTCGCGTACTCGCATTCGAGCCACGTACGAGAGACTTAACCGTTTCCAACCGGCGAATTCATTTCCCAGCCATCATCCCGTATGCGACCAAAAAGATGCGTTCTCGGTTCATTCGTTCCGTTTCTGGTTGAAGGAGAATTTACCCCACATCATCGGTGTAATATAATTTTGCGTGCAACGAGTTTGGGTAGCGGTCTCTCTTCATTAACGCTACTGAAAAACTAATGAAAACGGTTCCGCCACGGGTCTTCAGTCACAATTTTTTTGTTTCTTGTTTTTTTTACCGGATTTTCTATTTTATGGAAAGCTAATATGGAGGAACGGTTCGCGGAATTATAGAAGAGGTGCGCGCAGCCGGGTTGGGAAAATAAAAATTCAGTAAATTTAGTGTTCTCGTATCGCGGCCGGTAGCGATCGATGGTCGGGGATGGTTGTTCAAATTTTTAACGAGTCTCGCGGCAGCGCGAAATTAATTACTTAACGGCTGGAGTTTTTTCCACCGGTTGGAAATGAAACCTACCGCTCTCTCTCTCTCTCTCTCTATCTTCCTCTCCCTCGTTCTCTTCAAGTTTCTCCGTGCAGCGCACGCATCGACAGTGCCTTTGTGGTTTCGTCGATATATAGTATACGGATACGTCATTAAAATACGTTAAGTATTCCTACTTGTCGAACGTAGCTGTAGTTTTTTTTCTTCGGCTCGATGCTTTTGGTATCAGAAACAGTGACTAATAATTCGAGCAAGAAACCGCGCTCCGACGGTTCGCTAATTAACGGTGGCTACCATTTTTTTCTCATGTACGATTATTCGCGAATTTAATATCAATGGAGTTTTGAGAAGTTCTCGGGTAGCTTGAAGCCCGGGCACGGATGAATATTCGACGAGCGGTCGACGGTCGAGGGTCTTAATCCTCGGCTACGGTGATTTAACGAGAGAAAGAGTAGCGGGAGAGACGAGACAGCGAGGGGAGAGAGAGAGAGAGGGAGGGAGAGAGGGACCGCTGCGTAGGAGATTAGAGATCTACAACTTATCTCGAAAAGTGGTTTCCGTCGTTGTACAAGTGGTCGTAAGCGGCTTAAACCGTGCATCTACGTGATTTCGGGCCGCGTCTACTTTAATACGCGGATAAATCTGCATTCTATTAATTAGAGATCCGAGACCGACTGTCTTTTTACCGTCCGACGCTCGTAAATCGTTTGCCAATCGAGAATTGAATCATTGCCTTGGAAAATTTCGAACGTGTTTTAATCCCACCGGCGCAGACTAATTACCTCTCTCGACGATTTCCGCGGTTTCGAGTTTCCCCGCAGGGTTCCCCGTGACCATCGACTTTCCCCGTCTCCTATCCCTCCTTTTTAACAAGCCCTGATCAGACATCAACGCGGAACCGTATTTCAACGCGGAAACGGATGCAACGTTCGCGTCGGCAAGTTTGAAGCCCGATGTCCGGGCCAATTACCCAAAATGTCCGGGGCCATACGAATTTTTCCACGGGGATTTTAATTAATTAGCGGCGGATCGTGGATCCGATCCCTCGAACGGCACGCCGCGCCAGCCGCCGCGGAACCAGCGTGCCCAAAGGTTCATTAGATCCTTCGGCCGGCTGGCTGAAATTCTGTGGACCGCAGGGCAAATAGTTCGTTGCCATTTTATGCAAAGCTGAGAGTAGCTTTGTATCAAAGAGAGCTGCCCGTATGTATTCATTAGGCGGTATTTAGCATAGTTCCAATGAGCAATGGAGGCCCGCGCGCGGCTTACGCTCGCCTCCAGGCCGGACCGTGAAATAATCGTCGATCCGAAATCATGGAATCACGACGCTCGGCTCTGGCTGCATCCTCGATCCATGACTCCGCGATCGTGCGGCGCCGATCGTGCGACCCAAAACGGGCGCACATTTAATTACACAGAGCCTCGTCTCGTTATAAGGCTAACAAGTACGTAGCGCTTGGCTACGTGTCTCGATTACGCGCGCGTGATTCGGAAACGAGTGAAATTTCGCAGAAGATAACGACGGGCACAGGGAACAGGCCGGTAGTTGCGCGATAAGGCATTTTTCTCTCCTCGGTTAAGGAAAATTAGAGGTCCCCGGGGTTCTCAATTAAATCGAGCCTCGCCGGGATCCGGTCCGGCGTTTAATTAACGAATATCGATAACATCGATTTCGCATTAACTCGAGTGGATCGCGCGGACACGGGCCGCGGGGGTAAGGATCGATCGTTTCCGAAGTTCGCCACGATTCGTATCGGGCAGCGCAAAGTGTTTTCGCTACGGCTTTTGATACCCGCGATCGTGAAAATATCCTGAGGACTGGAAAAGGTTGCCGACCAGTCTTGTTAATGGAGCGATACGGGAAAGCCGCCCCGGCCTTTATTACTATTTACTGTGACAAGCGGGACGTAACCTAAACTCGCGGAGCGCTTCCTCTATTCCGTCAAAAGGATCAAAGCGCGTTTTTCCTGTTCCCGAGGATCGGATATTCATTTTTTTTCCTTTCTTTTTCGAGCCCGCGCTCGTTCGTACGCGGTACGTAATCCGGAAAGGCGAAAAGAGATAAAGAGAAGCGAGCGCGCGGTTCGTGTGCGGCGAAGCTGCTATGGCCTGGACACAAAACCGGAATCAAAACGGTATACGCGGTGTATCCATTGCTATCGATCTCCTCCACCTCGTCCCTGGCGAACGCAGCCGCTCGTAAGCTTCGCTCGTTATGTAAGGTTAATCTGGAAAAGAGTCTCTTTATTTGTACTTCGATCTTTGTTCGCCTTTGCATAAGCCAGCAAGGCTCGTGCCCGGTCGTTGCCTTTTATCTGCCCCGGCATTCTCTTGGTCGCGATGCCTACCTTGCTCGCATCTCTAATAGACTTCACTTTCCCCCGGTTACTTTTAACGAGATTTGTTTTTCACGGGGTACCGATACCGTAATTGCATCAACGATTTACTTGTTTCCTCGAGGGCTCGCGGCCTCATTAGCCGCGGCAAAGCGACCGGTGAACCCGGGCTTTAGAAATAAAACAATTTTTACCTCCTCGATCGGTTCCCGTCTCTCGAACCTGCAAGAATTTCACCGCGAACATCATCCCTTAATCTGTATACATTTAATATATCCGTTATCAGCTCTGCGGGGGAGGGAAGATTCGACTCCCCGACGCGTGGCAACGCAGAGGGTGCCGGTCGCCTTTGACGGAAACTGGAACCGCGCGTGCGAATGCTATCTCGGAATGCGTCAAGCGATCTAATGAGCCGGATTTCACGGGATCGGGCTTGAATGGAGCGAGCCGCCGCTTCCTATGGGAACTCGGCGGCGTCGATCGGTAGTATAGCGTAGTATCGGGGAATCCGAAGCGAAAATGGTGACGAGGGTGGGTGGGTGTACGCGGAAAACCGGGGTCAAAAGCCCGCAGAAATTTTCAACAAAGCCGCTCATTGTGTTCGCGAGCGGCAAAAGGGGTGCTAAGCCACGTATATAATGTTCGCTGGCAAACTCTCTCTGGGAGCCTCGTACCTCCCTTTCTCCTCTCGGTTCTCACTCTTTCGGCGCCGGTGTTCACGCACCGATTGCGTACCTGTTGTAAAAATAGCATTGCAGGTACTCACCCACCACGTTCCCCCCTTCTCCTGTTTCTTTTTTTTTTTTTCGTACGCCTCGTTCGATTGTCAGTTTCAAGCCGCGGCTTTGATAGCCGTAGCTTCGAATCGACGCATGTTATATTACAAAATCCGAAGGGTATTCGATTTAATTTGAAATATACGTACGTTTAAAAGAAAATTAAGGACAGAGGTGGACCAGACGGAATGCGCTCTCGAAACCAGATTCTGATTTTTCTTTTTTTTTTTTCAAAGGCACTGTTTGACAGATGCCC